TAAGGGCACAATACATTTCCATCACTGGTAAAGGGTCACTTGCAATAATTACCCTATATACAAGGAGGATATCATTTGGTTGTTGATTTATGGATAAGATTACAGTATAATCTCACTTTCAGTCACCTTAATGATTTCTGCCACTTGGTATTCGAATTGATTCCGAACTACTCCATATTTCTTATTTTAAATTCTTTCTGGATCTGCAATAGATATATTTATAAACAGATTTAGTTGTATATTGTTCTTGGGGATCTTGTAATCTATTGTCCCTCAACAACTAATTAGTTTAAAAGCAAAATCTTATTTCTACGGGTAATTATAGATTTGTCAATGGAATATGTAGTTTGGTGATGTATAAAGCATCAGAGACAAGTACCTGACAACTCTCCAAGAATACAGCAACAACAACAATTAAGCTTTATCTCACTAAGTGTAGTCGGCAGTATGAATTCTAGAATGTCATTGCGCTCGATTTTGCTTCATGTCTTCCATTAGCTACAAGTACTCCATACTTTTCTTAAAGTCTCTTTCCAAGTCTTCCTAAGTCTTCCTCTACCTCTTTTTCCTTTAGCTTCCGTCTCATAGTCGCATCTTCTAACCAGAGCATCTATAGGTCTTCGATTCATGTGTCCAAATCACCTTAACCAATTTTCTTATCTTATCTTCTTAAATATGTTTCGTTAACTCGTCTAGTACCAATTCAAAAAGGCAAGGACTTAAAGCTGCCTTGGTGTAACACTATGGTTATGGTAAAGCTTTTAGTGTCCTTCATGAATTCTTACTGCAGTCCTTACTCCATTATACATATCCTTTATTACTTGGGTATATGCTACTTATACCTACTCCTTTCTTCTTTAGAATCCTCAAAGAATTTCTCTTATCATACATTTTTTTCCAAATATATAAAAACCATGTGCAAATTATTATGCATATCTTTGTATCATCCAATTGGTCTTTGTAAGAGATAGGTTGTCTCTATAGTCGAGCGCCCTGACATAAACCCGAATTGATTGTCTATGATCCGTGTATCTTGCCTTAGTCTATACTCAATTATTCTCTCCCAAAGATTCATTGTATGACTCATTTATTTAATACCCCCATAGTTCATGCAATTTTTTATTACGCTGTTATTCTTGTAGATAGGCACCGGAGTGCTTTTTCACCACTCATTTGGCATCTTCTTCGTTTTCAATATCATATTGAAAAGATTTATGAGACATGCTATACCCATCTTTCCCAAGACCTTCCACACTTCAATCGGCATATCATCAGGACCTATTGCTTTTCTATGCTTCATTTTTTCAAAGCTAAAACCACTTCCTCTTTCCTTATTCGGCGGTAGAAGGAATAATTTCTACACTCTTCCGAGTTACTCCACTCACCTAAAGAAGTACTTGTTTTGTGTCCTTCATTGAAAAGATTATGAAAAAAGCTCTCAATCTATCTTTAACCATGTTCTCGTAGCTAGAACATTTCCATTCTCATCCTTGATGCACCTTACTTGGTTCAAGTCTCTTGTCTTCCATTCCCTTGGATATCCAATAGTCATTCTATGGTATCTAATCACTTATACATGTCGTCAAAAGTCGATATCTTCACTTCTCCAACGACTTTTTGTGGCTCATTTTTCGCTACCTTATACCTCTCACCATTTTCATCGGTTCTATCCTTGTATAAGGCTTTACAACATTCCTTCTTAGCCTTAACTTTGGTATTTTTGAAAGGCATTTCATCAAAGATCTTATAATCATTATTATCTAGATATTTGAGTAAAAATTGTAGATTAAATAGGGGTGGTAGCGGCGGCAATAGAGGGGAGGCAGATAGAGGTAATGGAAATGATGGTAGAGCTGGGAAGGTGATGGCAGTAATTATGGTGGGGCTGGGTTATGTGGAAGTGATGCTATGCTACCGATGGTTGTGGAAATGATGAGGGTGGGGTGGGTAACAGTGTAAGCGGTGGCGGCGGTGGTGATGGTTGTAGTAGTGGTGATGACCTTGGTAAGGTGGTGGTAGGATACATAATTTCTATATGATCTTTGTAAGGTGGTGATGGCCTTAATAAAGAGGTGGTGGTAGTAGTGACTCTTCATTCCTTAGCCTAAATCTTCAAACAAATTAAGGTTCAACCTTAAAACTAATTGACAATTGGAGGTAACCTAAATGCTTATAAGAGATTGCATGGTTTGCTCCTCACTGTTGTGGACTTTTTCCTCACATTCTCACACACCCCTCCACGTGTGGCAAATTTTCAACCATAACTTATGGACAACACAAATTACTAGACATGGAGCATATGAGGCCGTTAGGCATCACACGTGAGGCCGTTAAGCATCACACATGAGGCTGTTAGGCATCACACGTGGGCCAACTTGCTCTAAGGTACCGTTTGGAAATATGTGGAGTAGCCGAACACCTTATAAGCCCTTGCTTGGTTTGATCCCTCATCGATGTGGGACTTTGTTCTCACATTCTCACCACCTTTCCCACTTTTGGACCTTTATTTTGCTTCCTTTCTCTTGCCAGAGTCTAAACTGGTTCATAGCTCCAAGTCTTTGTTTTTTATTACAAGTGATATTGTATGCTAAAGAGGAAGGTCCTAACCACCAGGGAAATCAACCACTTGCAACTCAAAGTCTTTATTTTCAAATTTATTTAACGTGTTACCATTACTACTATTATTTTAACACAATAATATATTTACACTAAGGGGGTGGGAAATTGAGCCAAACCATAATTATGGGTCAACCAACAGGTTGGTGCAGGTTTGGGTGGATTACAACCTGAGTGTGTCTGAGATTACAAGGTGTTGTGATTGAGCTCGTATATATTCAACTTAATAGAACCCAATAATTGGAAGAAATTGTAAAATCGGTTGGTGTTGGGTTTGGGTGGAGTCTAACATGAGTGTGTCCAAAACAGTATTCTAAAAATCTAGGTGGCCGCCTAAGAGTTAGGCTAGGACCAGCTGCCAGGATGCCTAGTTAAGTCGGGAGAAAAATCAAGGAAGAGATAAGGCGGGTGCCTAGGAAGCATAAGCAGGTGCCTAACTAACCTAGGCGGTCTGGGTGTGGTTGAAAATTATGTGAAAACCGGAGTATGATTACCGTTTGAATATCGCAAAACCAAACCATTTCGCGCGGTCCTATTTGGTTTGTGTTTCAGTTTTATGTTCCAAGTGCCCACCCCTAACTCCAATTCCAACTTGACAAACTCTCACCCTTTTCTCCTTTTTCTTTGTTTTGACCATTGGTCAATGAGGCTCCGCCACTTAGCATTCTATTTAACAAAAGGGCCAGCTGCCTTCCATGTGTACACTTAGACAATACTTTTTTACACCACGTGTTTCATGTCGTTATTGCTCATAAAATTCACTATAAATTAATATGACCTATGAAAAATATTTTGTAAAGTGCCACAGAATCTTAACCACTTGAATTTTCATCTCATTTCATCAAGTTCACTAAATTACTAAAGAAAACATCTAATACTTTTAGATATTGTATTTGAAGTAACAAATATATATATATATATATATATATATATATATATATATATTAGAACACTGGTCTTAAATCATAACAAGTTATGACTGAGGTCGTGTATATTCAACTCAATAAACCCCGATTGGTGTGCCTCAATCATAAAGGATGGATTAATTTAGGAAGTGTGTCTAAAATCATAACTCTTGAGACATCAATTAGCCACATTCAAGGAGAATGTCACGTGGACTATTAGCTCAATGTGACAGATTTACCCTTAAACTCATGAGCAGATAGCACACAAAATCCTAGTTGGCTAAGCATATGCCTACCCTATAGGTTTTGGGCCTTCAGCTTTAAGTACATATCAAGGTCTCCTTGCTAGGCCCATGATATCCCTACTGTTGCAACCGTGTCTTTCACTGAGCTCAAGGAGGCAGAAGTCGACTCTTCAAAGTCTCCCTTGGGTGTCCTCTGTCCTACCACCATAAAGCTACCCCAGTAGTTTCTTAAGTGAGGTATACACCATACTAGCAGAAAACTAAGGCACTGCTAGCCGGCTACCTATGATGAGTCTCTCCCACAAATAGTCAACAAACAAAGAGATCGGTAATTGCCATTTACCACTCATAACTCTCTCACGTTCAGTTTCTTTAAATTTTTTCTAACTTATGCATTGGAGACCCTTGGGCGAGCACCATTTTCTTTTTTCTCGAGTGTTTGTCAATTAGTCTAGCGATATTGTTTCTCAGGTGGAATTTTTGTCAGTCTATCTTTAGTGGAAATTTACATCCACATTAACAAGTAGTGATGAGCTCATATATAGTCAATTCAGTGGATTTGAATTTGTGTCTCAATTGTAAATGATGAGTTAATATGTAGGTTTTGCTTCGAGTCCACATGGTTTACACCTCTAATAGGAGAGAGGAATGTGCTTTTATTTCTATTTATTTCTGAAAAAAATATTGTGAACTATTTGAAGTTTATTTACATTTTACCTTTATTGCTTCACCATTTAATATTTAATATGGAAGAGCTTGACTCCTTAAATTAAAGAGGAGTTCCTCATCAAAATACTTCGTGGTCTATTCATAGAACTTTGTGAATATGATCTAAACCATTCATTTATAAATCAGTCTATAAAAATCGTCTCTGTAAAGATACAATTAAAACTAAGATTATTTAATCACTCAATTGTAGCAAATAGATAGACAGTTCATAATGCCTTTATCGAATCCGTCCATATGTTTTTGTAAAGTTTGATGACTAAATAATCTTAGTTCTAATTGATTTTTTGTTGAGATGATCTTTACATAGTAATTTATAATATAAATGGTTTCGATCATAAACACGAAATATTGTGAATAGACCTGGAGATAATTTAAGGAGGAATTCCTCCTAAATTCTCGAGGAGCCAAGTCTTTCTCTATTTAATAATTTAATGAGATAACGTTAAATTTTATTAGTAGATCTCAGAGATAAAAGAGTAAAATAAACTAAATAGTGGTAAAAAGATACGAAGTTGAAACAAGTAGTTATAGTGCATAACAAGGATGACTGATTACAGTCAAGTCTCAAACATAGACCAAGTTTGTTTCTCCGAATACAAGAAAATAGACCAAGTTTGAGCTTCCTTTGCTAAGCCCAAAAACATAGAAGAAAGATATTTCATTCAAAAATGAAACTCTAACCTCTTAAAAAACTATATTAAAAACCAGGCCATGGGGTTCCTTATTTGTCACAGCAGGCGGGTAAACTCAACGTGGCAGCAACCAGCCAACCACGCAAAAATAAGAACTAAAAAACCCTCCAGAAAATACATATAGCAAGAACCCTCATGGCAAAATAAAGACCCAAATGGGGGATGTCAGAAAATAAGGGAGACTCACATCACAGGAATGGAAAAAAGTAGCTAGTAGCAAAGGGTTGGGAAAAGATAACTTTTAGGTAATTCGGATAATGTACAGGTTGCAGAAACAGAATCCTTAGAATATCTGCCCCATATGGCATCTCACATGAACGTCAACAGAGCCCCTCGCAACTTTCTTGCTAGATCCTTCACTGTCATATTGAATCCATCATCCATCTGCAGGTGAGATGCAAACTTTTATTTAATCAATTATAAAAAGGACATATGCATTTTGTTTGGATAACATCTCTTGTCAGACTCTGACATATGTTTGTGATGCTACTGTAAATGTGTCGCACAAAAACAAAATATCAACATGACCAATCATTGAGATTTACAATCTAGCTACATAAAAGTCTAGCAAAAGAGCATTAATAACTCGATGATGTTATAAGCGACAAGTTATACCTGAGACATAATGGTTATGTCTAGAGTGGAGGCCCCAAATGGCAAGACGCTGCTATTAACCACAGATAATTGAAGCTTTTCAATTTCGCTTAGTATTTTCACCACAACTCCTTTCTGTTTCTCGCAGTGGATTCGAATCAATACATCCTTTTCTGAAACTCTTGCTTCAATTTCTGGGAGTGCAGCTTCGTCGGGGCCGCAACCATCAAAGTTTTCATCACATGAAGAGGTGTCATCATCAGCGGAGAGTTGAGACTTTTTCACAAATACCACGGATTCCACAGTTCTTTTCTTGGATCGTTCCTCAAGCACTTTCACCCTTTCTTGAAGCTCCTTCACATGCTTTATAGCATCTCCAAGAACAGAAGCTTTGTCCATCTATACCCAAGAAATTGAAATATTACAGTGTTAATAAACATACATAATTTATATAATTAGAGTCCATTCTATGATTCGTTGACATTATAAGATAACGGGCTAATGGCTAATGTTTACCAGACATATATATTTATATGCTTTGTCGTCAAAGTGTTAAATAAACCATGTACTAATTTGTATAAGAATTGGGGTTTTGATCATCTTTGCCAAGAAAAATACAGTACCTTCTTTAGGCCAGGAACGATCGCAGAAAGAGCTATGAACCGCTGGCTGAGCTTTTCTCTCCGCTTTCTTTCAGCCATTATGTGGTCTTGAGCATGTGAAGGTGGTGTTCTACTTGTTGGGCAAGGCCTCTTAGTGCCCTGGCTACTGCCTTTTGCTTCATAGTCTTGAGCATGTGAAAACCGCATATTAATTTGGGAAGGTGCCTCATCCTTTGGCTTCAACGCAGGCTCAAATTTATTACAAAACTTTTGAGGCTTGGAAGGCAGTGGCGAGTTCAAGTTCTCAAAAGAAAGAATCTGGGAGGAGGAAGAGCAAGGTTTTGGTGAAACATTTTCTGTGATGATAGAGTTCCAGCTGCTAGTCTTGAGCAGTTTGGCTGGCCTCTCAAAGCTGGTGCCATGAGAAGTCTCATTAATGGATGAACCACCACTTGATGCAATGGTCGTCGTGGTGGGGGTGTTTTTGGTTGTCAAAGTTGAGTAAGAGGAATAGCTCTCGGAAGAGAAAGATTGTTTGAAATTCTCCCCAAGGGCAGTGCCAATATCATGTGCATTAAACCCGTCATCTAGACTGTTCAAGTGACATTGAGGAATGAAACTGTAGTCCATTCCCTGCAAATTGGAACAAAAAAATATTACAATAAATTTATATAAATACTTCGCAGATAACAAAAGCTACAATATTTGATTGCTAATAATTAAACTGTATTTTGTTATTACACCATATGTATTCTCAGAACTTAGAAGTCAGAAAATTACCAATTCAGAAAACCATTTGGCTGATGATATGTCCATATTAATGCAGCTCAGCTAGTTCCCCTGTTTAATCAAATCTAGTGACAAGATAATCCTGGAGAGCAAGAGAATCACCGTCAGGTATCAGTTACAATTTATGTAATAAAAAAAGAAACAAGAAGTTGCAGCCGAATGTTAACCATGAAACTTGAGGAATGGAACTTAATTAAGGAAACCCTATTGATTAATTCACTGGGAGAGAAATATGGAAGCTTACCCTTCTCCTTTGAGTTGCAGAAAGTGATGTTGCTACTGCACTTTTATACTAGTTGTCCTCCTCCTATACCCTCGTGTGAAAATTCTGTAGTTATCGTCTTATTCATTTATTTATATTATTATTTATCATTATAATGGTACTTAGTATTATTATTACTACCAATGAAATTTGAAAAAAAAAAAAAAAAAGCTGGCTACCTTCTTTCATACTACATAGTCGTTGACGTATGGTTAAATCATTGTGCATATAAATAAATAAATTGGCAGCTTCAACTTGACCGGTAATAAGAGATACCGGATCTACGGGAATTATAAATCAAAACACTATTATTGTCTTTCTCAAGTCTGATGATGCCGACTATGTACCTAAATATTAGATTTATTCATTATTTTAATTTTGTAAATACCCTGCCAACTAGGTACCTAAACAGTGATCTGATATCTTATTCTGCTTTTGTTAATTTTTCATTGGAGAATTGCTCTATTTATGTTGAACAATGCTCGGCTGCTTAAGGATAAGTAACTTTTACTTAAAAAGTTTCGTATACGTTCACAAAATTTCGTGCTGGTAGTAAGAATTGTTTTTATTATAAATCATTCTATAAAGATTATCACTTCAAAAAAATAAATAAACTAAGGTTGTATAATCAATCAATTGTGGCAAATAAATAGACAAGTTGTAATACTTTTACCATTTCTTTTTATATGTTTTTATACAGTTCGATAACTAAACTACCTTAATTTCATTGAATTTTTGCGCATATATGATTTTTATAGAATAATTTATAATATAACCAGTTATAGTAATCATAAACATAGAGTATTATTTGTTTGCATTCACCAAATCTGTTTTTTATTGGTCAGGATTTTCACCAGGGGACGGGTTGTTGGGTTGCTGTTTGTTTGTTTGTTTCGTTTAGGCCATTGTACAACTTGTAACCCAAAGAGAGAAGTAAGAAAAATGATTTGGCATAAGAATTTACTCACCGGCCAGAACAATTATAAAAGTTCAACACTTCATGGAAGCGCTGATTAAATCATAGTGCAACGATGAGGACATGCAGAGTGGTCTTAAAACTGGAAAACAAAAACAAACAAGAAAAAACAAGAAAATTTTGGCTAAAAGATAACCTCCAGATATTGGAAAGTGCGAGCAATTGATTTACACGGGTCTGACTACCGATCGAGCAAGAGTGATCATAAAGAGGGGTGTTTCTCCATCATGCACTAAAATCATTTTAAATTTTTCTATCAAAATTTGGAAGAGTATATTTACATCAACTGGAAAAGAATTTATGCTAAATCCTACAATGGACTAGTCATAATACATTGTTTTAAAAGAGTTAAACTTAAAACTTAACACCTGTAATTAAAGATGATCATCATTAACTCCTACTACAAAGTAACCCCAAAGTCCTTTTGACCTTTTAAAAACAATGAGCTGGCAGTCATAGTTAAGCAATTAAAAGTTCCAAGTTGTTTATTCATTTGGGGTCATAAGCCCACATGGTTAATTTCTAGTGACGAACGTGGCAATTAAAAGATGAGCATTATTTTTTAATTAAATTTAAGCGATAAGTCTACAGAAGGAAGTAATGCTTGAAAAATATTTCTATTTCGATAAATTTTTCAGCTTTTAACATTATATATGCTACTTGGGTAGATGTAGGGGTGGGCAATGGGCCATGGACCCACGAGTCAGAGCAGCCTAAGCGGTTCAAGGCGGGTTCAAAAATTCTAAATAGAAAATGGGGCAGGGCGGATCCAAAATTTTAAGGAAGCAGGCCTCCAATCCAGACCGTTTCCACCTTTGATTTAATATCACTTAAATCAACACCTTTGAGTCCCATTTCGCAACCCTATGAAAACACTATCTCTCACTCTAAGTCTCAATCTCAGACTCATAGCAGGCAGCGGCTCAAGCTCATCATTTGTCCCCATCTCTCTTGCTCATCTTTCCTAATCCCAACTTGATGTCTTTGTCTCCCGACTCCAGTCGTAGAAGATGGCGTCGACGATGACATAAGGCTCCAGATCAAAGATGCTCTGAGGGACTTGAGGGATAGTAGAGATCAAAGATCGAAGATGGACGATGATGGCGTGATGACAATAGCGAGCTCGTCGATGGTGGTGGGCTCTAGATCGACGAAGATGGTGCGAAGGACGTGTTTTCCAGCGACGGTCTCGGAGAAGACAATGTTGAAAGTGGGTTTTTGGACCTATGAACTTGAAGAGAAATCTGTGGTTTTTGACCCATGGACCTAACTTGAAGAGGAACGTGTGGACCCAACTCGACAGAAGAATCAACGGTGGTTTATAAACGCGACGACGGAGGGAGACCGGTCTCGGAAAAAACATCCTCGACTTGAACGATGTTGTTCCCATCTATGGACCCCTGGACCAGGTCCGAACCAGCTTGTTTAAAACAGGCCGAGTTAGATCCGATTCCAAATTCAAAAATTCAATTACCCGCCTCATTGCCTTTTAAACATGTCCAGTTCGATCCCTCCAAATTTGAACCTGGCCCAGCCCATGCCCACCCTTAGGTAGATGTTCTCCTCCATATGTTTAGGCCATAATAAAAAAATAATCTTTATGGGGCCAAACTATTTTTATTACTCAAAGTCGTGCAACAATTGTCCACCAAATTCATAGCCCAACTTAGGATATTATCCTACAGCTCAAACAATTACCTCTTGTTATTCTGCAACTGTTTTAGGGCTAGGACTCGACCCTCCAGAAGCACGTACGCCACATGGAAGACCATACCCGGGAACCCCTTACCTCCTTAAATGATGAGGGATGCATCACTAAACATACTGAGGTCACCACAACAATCGTGTGAAGCGCCACAAGGATCAATAAATGGTCACTAACTAGGAATTGCAGTTCTTGTCAGTGTAAAATGAATGATATCCCCACTTCAACTTAGCAATATGATCGAGGTTACTCTTCCCCAGCTACCTATAAATAGGACGAGATGCCTTCAAGCTCGGGGTTTTTGTTAAATTCAATCTCCACGATTATACAAAGCTCAAGTGATTATTCATTCAACCAAATTGCTCTTCAGCGCGAGCAAATTACTCTTCAGCAAAACCTTTTAGCTCTTCAGCTACAATACAAAGCCTTCCTTCGAAGCAAATGTGCCTACGAAGCATGAGATCTTAAACCTTAATAGCTCTTCCACTCGATAGTATGATTTGATTGACAGGTAATTCCAACCACCATGATCACCTATTCGGCGCAATGCTTCTTACTCAATCCAATCCACACCAATGACCTCATTGAACTCCTCTAATATTATCTGGCCGTACATGGCAGTAATCTTGCTAGAGTTGACTGCTTTCTTTACATTTTAAGGTTTATTACTTTTCAAGTTATGTGGATTGGCTCATCAACCCAAATATTACTTTTCAAGTCATGAAGGTTTCCTACTTTTATTTCCATTTCTACTTTCTTTTTCAGTTATAACTTAGGCAGGCACTGACACTCGATTTCAAGTCCTCGTTTGCTCAACACATAAAAATGAACTTAACTAAATTAGTGTTACATTCGATGCACAATCTTTTGGTTAAGAAATCAGATCTAAGCAAAAACACAACACAACACAACTCTACACACATTACTGTTTATTGGCTGCCTCCAACAATGGAACGCTTGTTTTCTTTTTTTCTCGAGCCATTTCGTGGCACTGAGACCGAAAGCAACACTCAAACCAAATACGTGTTAAACTTGAACCCAATTAGGCTTCGTCCGAGTTTTGCCACCAATGCCACCATGTATGCCTTGTTCGTCGTCGTCATCATACCTCTTCTGTCTTTGACTTCTTTAAAGCACTGGGCTGAATGGATGGGGAGAGAGACAAAGAGAATAGGATAATAAAAAGGTTGCAAGTGTGATGTGATGACATGAAATAAAAAGTAGCATTTGGCATGGAGCCATGAAATTAATTACCAAAAGATGAATTTATCTGCTGGAATAAAGAAGGTGTTTTAATACATTGGTGGTGCTAGCTGATCTGATTACTTGCAGTATTAGATTACTTATGTCTTTTCAGTTTTTGGAATATTTTCTAGTAAGCTATTATTTCATTTGTCTTTTCATATTTCTCACTTTAAGTTGTAAGCCTATAAATACTTTTATTTGTAAGGCAAAAAGATGGTAGAAGTTGTTTGAATTATTATATTGAAATTTGAGTTATAAACTTGTTTCTTGCCTTGTTCTTGTTTAACGGTGTAACATCCCATATCGACCAACGGAGGGGGGTGATGTGCCTTATATGTACATGCCCACCTCCATATAGCACGAGGCCTTTTGGGAACTCACTGGCTTTGGGTTCCATTGGAACTCTGAAGTTAAGCGAGTTCGGGCGAGAGTAATCTTAGAATGGGTGACCCACTGGAAAGTTCTCGTCTGAGTTCCCAGAAACAAAACCATGAGGGCGTGGTCGGGGCCCAAAACGGACAATATCGTGCTACGGCGGAGTCGGTCAAGGATGTGACAAACAATATGTTGTTTTGTTCTTCTAGTTCTGTACTTTGCAGGATAGTGCTAGAAGCGAAGTTTTTAAGGTTTTCAAGTCTCTCCTTACACTTTAAGATAGTATATCCTACCTATCTATCCTATCTATTCATTTTATTTTATTTTTATTTCTCACCATGTTCATCCCTGCATCAAAGTGTCAATCACGTTGAAGGAAAGGTCCTTATTCATTGGATGTCGTTGATATGTCAAAGATACGTGATAGATTTTATTAATGTGGCGTGGCATTTGATACCAATATGTCAATATAATGTTGATAGTATGGCATTGATATTTGGTACTAGTTCATTCTAGTTGCTCAGTGTATTGTAACGGGTTATTTTTGACCCGCTTGTACCATACCCTTTTGTTTAATGTTTTTATCGTTTGGTTTTAATCAGGCAACATCTACTCACCATATGGATGTAAATTTTTGTCCAATGGGATTGACCATAAAA